ATATTTAAATCAATAAAATTTTGGGGCGTTACATTACTAGATCCCATAAAGGGTATTGTTCTGTCCCAAAGCCACTATGCACTTCAGTTGCTAGAAGACACCTGATTTCTTGCTTGTAAACCGGCTAATTTTCCAATGGATCCCAAAGTTCGACTGAGCTCCTTTCAAGGGGAGCTATTGGAGGATGGTTCTATGTACAGAAGGTTAATTGGACTCTTGCTATACCTGACCATTTCAAGACCAGACATCACCTTAGTTGTTCATAAGCTCAACCAATATGTGTCTCAACCTCGAAAGCCTCATTTAACGGTTTTCCATCATTTGTTGCAATATATTAAATCTACTATAGGACAAGGTCTCTTGTTCTCTGCGGATTCATCTTTACAATTACGTGCCTTCACTGATGCGGATTGGGGATCATGCCTAGACTCTAGGAAATCTGTAACTGGTTTCTATGTTTTCCTTGGGGATTCCATGGTGTTTTGGAAAGTTAAGAAACAAAGTATTATATCCAGGTCGTTTGCTGAAGCTGAGTACCGTGCATTAGCCTCCACTGCCAGTAAGATTGTATGGATACGTCAACTACTTCTCGACTTTCATATAACTCCAAAGACTCCAGCTTTGATCTTTTGTGACAACCAAGCAGCCGTCCATATCGCTACCAATCTTATTTTCCACGAGAGGACTAAACACATAGAGATAGATTGTAATTTTGTAAGGGATAAAATCACTGACGGTTTTATCAAACTCTTGCCAGTCAGAACCAATCATCAACTTGCTGACATATTCACAAAGGCACTACCTGCTTCTATGTTGCTTCCACTACTTTCCAAGATGGTGGCTATAATTAATCTTCACAACCCTTCTTGAGGGGGAGTATCGGAGCCAATAGAAGCAGCTAAACTTCCAACTGTCATTGAGATGTCAAAGTTAGTTAGGATAGTTTGTTAATTCCAGCTGTAGTTTCCGCCTTTTATTTTATTGTATGATTTGTATTTATATACTTTGTACATTTCATTTCCAGTAATAATAAGAAATTCAGTTCTCCAATTTTTGCTTCCTTATTCGTAATAGTTACCACCACGTCGAATCCATACCCTATAAAGAAATCCATGCTCCAAGTTCACCTTTATACAAACCATAGCGTCATTAAGTCACTCAAATCAGATGTAGCCTCATCAATCATCAAGAGTATCCCTATAGCCATAAATAAAGCAAATAAGTGCTTGCATTGACACACAAATGAATCTAAAGCAAAGGAAATAATATCCAAACTCGAGCAATTAGAGTCTCATGATGTGGTCCTAAATTTGTTAGTTCTCAACATTTATTAAACCCCCGTTTGGTGTAGCTAAAAATCATAATTTTTTTTAAATAAATTTTGATAAAAACTAATAAAATGTATAATTGAAAAGTTGTAGATATGTGATTAAAATTAAAATTTTATTTTGATTTAAATTTTTATTTTAAGTCATACCAACTGTGGCACTGTCTAATTTTACAAACCCAGATTTAGTAAATACTAAATATTTCTTTAAAAATAACTGTGGCAAATATATAGTCTTAGACAAATATTTAATAATATTACATGTTATAAAAGAAAGAAAGAAATAAATAAATGATAAGCACCTTTTCCTAATAAAACAGGTAGTTAAATAAATAAACCAAGAAAATATGTATAACAAGCATCAATGACAATAATAAGAAACGGGATAAAAATGAATAGTAAACCCATAGAAAATCAAAGAAAACCAACCTTTTCTGGGAACATAGAGGTGTACTTAGTTATGGCAGAAAAAGCTTGCTTTTTCTGTGTTTTTTTAATGGATGCAGATTCGCCGTTTGTAGGTAGAACTTCAAAGGGTGGCAGAGAGGAGGCGTCCGGTGGACTCTTTTCTTTATATAGTAGTTCCTCATTTAGATTTATACAGACTTCTCCACTTATAACATCCAGCTTTTTAACAACTACACCTGCTTCCCTGCATCAACAGAAAGAAGGTGAAGGAATTGAAAGGATCACTTTCTTTTCTATATTTAGTTAGGCTATACAACTTTCAAGATGCTGAAATAGAAAAGCTGAAATTAATGAGATCAGGAACGACAATCTGATCGACAAAAGTGAACTCTATTAGATCAAGAAAAATAGACTGAAACACTTCCCCGTTCTAATGCACTTTCCATCTTGAATTATGGACAAAAGAATAGAATGAAAACATTTCTGCAAACTAAAAGTTATTGCTCTTTAAATTTGGTACAACCACGGAATGCAGAGGGTGGGAAGAAAAGGTGACACATAAACAAGCAGAAAGAAACATATAGCTAAAAAAATTTTGTATTTGTTTTTTTTCCCTAAAGTTCATATATTATAATTCTTGAAATTTAATAGAGGTAAATTTAGTTTTGCAAGCCATTTGCCTCTACAATTTAATTATCGTGTGTTGCTAGAGTTACCAAGATTCTCAATTTTGTGTGCACCATCTGCAAACCCAATATGGACATCTTATTATATGGCCATCAGTCCACCACTCATTTGTTAGTAATCAACCTTACATCAAAGTTCAGGTTAAATAAAATCCATATTATATATAATATAAGGAGAGACACAGAAAGAATAAGTCAGTCATTGCCCAAAGGAACTCAAGTTAATGCCATGTTTAAGTCTTGAGAAGATCAATACAGTAGCAGAGTTAAATAAATTTGGGCTCAGCCCCAAAGAGTAATTTTTGAGTCCTCCTGAAAGGAAGAATGAAATGTCTTTGGGGACAGAGAATATATTTTGTGGTTAAGACAAAATGACAATTCTTCTCTTGTGCATTTTCAGATAGCATTTATGACTAGCATGCCAATGTTAACCTAACATTAACAATCACTACATGCTTCAAAATATATCCATGATTTAATTTACAGACTAAGAGAATCAGCGAAATACAGAATTGCAAGGAGTGTGTGAGACAGAGAGAACAATAAGCAAATGGTGGGACTCATGATCTACCTGGAAGCATATTCCATAATCATAAGCAGATAGTATAAACAAAAGAGTTCCATTTTATTCAGGATATTTTAGCAGTGTTGGTGCAACTTTGAGAATAAAAAGTCCACTTCCATTTTATTCAGCATATGTTAGTAGTGTTTGGTGCACTTTGGCTAAACAGGAGTGTATCCATGCCATAGATAAGGTTCATGAACCCAGCTATGGATAGTAAAATAACAACCTGCTACATTTGGGTGAACTTGAATTCAGAAGTCACCTAAGGGCAATTCCCTAAAATGGAATTCCAAGGATGGACTTTCTATAGAAGTCCATTCATTTTGCCTAGCACTTAATGGTTCTTTGCAACTCCATAGCCCATCAGAAAATTTTAACAAATACCCTCCTCTTCATCTCAGGTAAGAAACAAGAAATATGTAGTACAAGATAACATAGAAGAGAACTTATGACAGGAGTTCAGATTTCTTCAAGTGAGAGGGGCAAAGCCTAGCAAAAAGCTAAGATGGTGAGTTAAGGACGGTGCAGACAACATTTCAAACTCACTTAACAACGGCATCCGCCAAAAATATGATAAGGATACTCATGGATAAAGAGGCAGCCCCGGGGACATTATCAGGGATTGGCGAGCCAAAATGTGCAGGAACTGAAGTGTGTCTAATTAGAATGTGTAAATTCAATATTGGTATTCAATGAGCTCTAAAAATATAAAAAAGATAAACAAACACACATAACTGCCATAGTTGCTGATCCATACCCCAAAATCCCTCCCCGCTTCCCCTGCAGATAGAGAGACCATTATTTCCTTCTCAATTCTATTTCTTGAGAATTTCTGAAACCAAGTTTGTTGGTTCGTGACTAGTTTCAAAATTAATCATGAGCGCCTATAAAACATTTTCCATGTGTTCTCTGAGTTCCCACTGCACACATTAATTATGTCCAAATTTGAATATAGTTATTGTTAGTAACTGCTATCATGGAGAAGGAAATCCCCAAGTCCCAGATGCAGCACATGATCTTTCTTTATCAATCATGAAAAAATTCAAAAACTCAGTTCCCACTGGCTTTTATGAAATATTGTCTAAAAAGCATACAGTATACATTTTAAGACCTGTAAAGTTAATATGCTAGTTTTACGGAACAGTGATTAGACCTGCATACTTCATGGCACCAAGTGTTGAGCTATTAAAGGACAGAATACAAGAGATAGAGGTCCTTATATATAAATATATATATTCTAGTGTTTGCTATACAGTGCTACATCAACAGGATTTGGCTCAGATAGCCCATTATTATTAATTCTGGATTTCTCAGAATCTGATGTCTATACGATGAAGGTATCAGACNTATTAATTCTGGATTTCTCAGAATCTGATGTCTATACGATGAAGGTATCAGACGTGAGATAAGAGGATGCTAAGATATATGTCTAGTCATACTAAAATGGAGAAGAAAGAAATGAGAATATACACCAACAAATGGAAGTGTAGCCAACTGATGATAATTAAGGGCAGGGCGACTTGAGAGCTGTACATGTTTTGCGTGTATCTAAAGTGATTTATGTTCAAAAGAGCGTCGCGATTACAATAGAACATGTCCAGAGAAAGAGAACTAAATCAACATGGCGTGTAGTGATTGATAAGGATCTATGTGCTTGGGACCTTCTAGAAAATCTCTAGCAATGAATTGAACCAAGTGGCGGAAACAATTTATATCCCAAATTTATTTGGAAAAGGGCTTATTTTGTTGTTGTTATTGCCTGTTGATATCTCATTTCTTCAAATGAGTTACAAAATATTCATGGAAACAAGTGTAACACAAAACCTACCTATCATGACCAAGCTCGCACAAGAGAGAGAATTCTTCGCAGCTGAAAGGAGCACACACCCTTTCTTTCATATGGTTAGAAGAAAAACATCCACCAGAGATTACTGATTGATCATAGGTCACTCGTGATTCGCCAAAGAAAACAATAATTGGAACAAGCTGCATCTTTACAGACAATCCAGCCTCAGATCCAGCATCTTTAGATATATCTACTCTCAGCTCTTTGACATCCAAAGTAGCCTTTGGTGTCTGCAGTGTTAAAGTAAACCATCCAGACAAAGTATCAAACAAATTACTCATGAGAAAAGAATCAATTGGTAAGAACCAAAAGCAATTGAAATCATATATATAAGTGGAGCACGCTTTATGATTTTGTCATTTAAAAGAAGAAAATAAGTGGTGTAAAATGGTATAGTAATCTTTTCATCACAATGGTTTTTAATCTGAGCCTATAAGGAAATCAGTGCTATATATGCAGTTACACGAATACTTGAATAAAAAATATTTGGCTTATACAAGGCTTTTTCCCTTTTCTTCCTGCACTGCAAGTGTTTCAAAGTATAATATTTCATATTTTTTATATTTTTTTGTCTCTTCTGCTCTCTCTACTGTCTTAGTTTTATTTAGATTAGTGCTATACCATGTAATGGGGTTAACCCTGTAGCACGTAACGTTCAAGGGAGAAAAGTTAACCTCTATTTCTTTTTTCTTTTCAATAAGAAAGACAATTCTACTATCGTGTCATGAAAATATATTCATCAAGAGGACAAGGAACATAAGAAAAAAGAAATGCAAAATGATAATCATGTACACATAATATTTCCAGCAACAAACAACTAATGATAAAGGAATTTCAGATGTAGAAGCACGTGAAGACAGATCCTTTGCTCTCTTGAACTACTATTTTGTTATTCAAGTTGGGCATGTGTGAAATCAATGCACCAACTTGAGGAAAAGATTTGGAATAGAAATCCAATTATAGGAAATCTATTTTAACTTATTTTCTATTTACTTTATATTCTTAATTTAACTAGGAATTGATATAGTGGTAGGATTAATTTTACTTTTTCTTTTCCTTCTACAGGTAGGAATAGTTTTTTTTTTCATTTCATAGGTTGGATTGTACTATTATAAATAGATTTGATAGTTTATGAATAAAATTATTCAGCCTAAAATTTAAGTAGTATTTCTCTTCCAATAAATTCTCAAAGTTTTCTACTCCAACAGCATGCACCCTCACAGTTCCGTTAGTCACATAAACCCATCATAATCATACATAAATGACAGAGGAAGTGCACTCGTCAACTACCAGAGTAATAAATGCAACCATCGCACTAATAGTATCAACAAAAATAGAAATCCAAAGAAAGATCCACATGCTTGTTGTGACTATATCTAAACTATTTATCAAACAATTCAAGAAAAAATACCTTCTTTTTTCCTTTTAATGACCACACATTACCTTAAGTATGATTATAAGTTTCTGAATGAAATCCTGTTCCTGATGTTCATAATATTCATTTATAACACACATACAAGATTAATGCGAAAATAAATGATTAAGTAATCCTATCCCATTTCCTCATAAAAAAGCATTGAACAGTTCAAGATGTAGCAGCAGAACCAACTAAATGATGAAAAGAATGTAAAAATAATAGCTCAAGTAGACTCTTCTCACCTTCAAAACCAAGTCAGTCACAGAAACTGATAAAAATCTTGCCATGTTAGCCACAACCATCCACTTTCCTCTACCTGAAGTGCGGCGTTTCTTGGATTTGGTTTTCTGAGTGCTCTTCTTCGAAACCCGCATTACGACTTCTAAATCACATATTAACACCTGCAACTTTGGATCCCTGGAAATGAAGCCAACGCCAAGTTTAACCAAGGACTGCCGTAAGCTTAGTCTAATTTCACCAACTGATATGGATTCAACAGCACCCTGTAATTGATCGGACCATCAGAACATGCAAAGCACAATTTAAGTGGACAAGTACTGTAATATAAACCTGAGAAAATGTATTCCAAAAATCATTGTACAAATCCATAACACTGCAATGCATATGATATTATGGGATTTCAAGTCTGAAGTCATACTTGTTCTTTTCTTTATTTTCTGGAGAAAGAGGGTAAGACCATTTTGTACATGAACCAAACAGACCGCTCTGAACAAATTAGTCAAACGGTGATCCAATTTAATAGAAGCATGGCCACTCTCAAGTTTTTTACACAAAATCTGTGATCTTAATAAATAAGAATCTTCTTACATCCCTCACTAGGATACACGATAGAATATTTCTCAAGCATAATGGATTGCTTTTAATTAAATGAGAACCAACAGATGAAAACGGACGATTGTAAGAATAGAGCAGAAATTCATGTGATTACATCTGCATGTGTCAGCATCTGCACAAATGGCAGTCACTGCAGTTAATTACACACTAGCCCGACAGAAATTACATTATCTCAACACTAGGAATACCATTTGCAGAGCCTACAGAAAAAATTCATCATAAAGCACCATGCACCATGATAAAAAGGGAGGCCAGGGAGGAAGTAAAACAATGAATACAATATTTTATCTAGAATTGAGCGAATTTGCAAAAGAAGAATAAAGAGAATATCAAAAGTAGAGATGATTAAAGTAACAATAATTCGAAGGAAGGCCACAAAAGTTTCTACACATATTGAATAAATTGTCTCCATTCTAAAGAAATGCTGTGAAGAATCATTTCATCAACCATGACTCATGCGAGCCTCGGCTTTTTATTTCTTTTACATAAAAAAGCAGAAGAATTTATTAGAGAGGAAGGGATAAAGCACAGCAAGGAGAAGGAGATGTCCTTTATTGAATAGCTTAACAAGCAATGGAATTTGCTAAACACGGCAATTTAGTTATCAACTATTATGAAGGGCTCTAAATAGGTAAACTTAGTAAGATTCACCTTTAACTGCCAAAAGAGATGTTCCAAAGACTTTACCAGAAGAAAGCAATGACATAGAGGCAATGATTTACAACATTGAAATTGGATACATTACTTTTGACTTTTAGAAGAGGACAGATCTATACGTTTACCAAGCTCTGCTAGGCTTCATAGGTTCAATTTCCCATCAAACCTGCTTTCTCAGGTGGAGATAATGCAATTTTAACAATATATTTTACTGCTCCAAGGATATTATACAGATCAAATCAATTGAGAATAACCTTTTTGAACTTCACAACAACATCTCTCAAACATTTCCATCCACCAACACGAAATCCAACTGATGCTCCCAAAACACGGCTGAGGATCCAAGCCAACAACCTGGAAGCAAACCTGAAACAAGATAATACACCATGATCTGAAACCAAGATAGAAAGTAAAACTAGTGCAATTTACACTTCTTAACACAAAAAAAGAAAAAATAAATAAATAAAAGGCAATTAGGGCAGTGACACAGACTAATAGAAAGTGATAGGTCTCTTGTGAGAGTTTTTCCCCACAATAAGCCTTTTAGTGAATTCCTGACAGTCAAGGATTTTAAGTATGATCGGGTAAGATTGGGTTTGAAAATTCCTAATTTGGCCCTTGTATGATCCCCATTTTTTTCAAAATACATTTTTTTCTCTTTTTCAACCACACATTATTCAATAAAATAATATTACACGCAAATCCAAAAATTTTCCTTATTTTTTAACAACACATTCTCCATCAATCTACTATTCCAAAATGCATTTTATACAAAAAAAAAAAAATGGGGCTCAAACAGGCCCTTAATATTTTGGATTTAGGATTTGCATAAGTACCTTGAAGGTCTCGCGTTCCCAAAGAGAGAAAAAATGATATGCTAATGTCTTCTGTATGGCATGGTCTTCACTAAAGAGGTCTAGACAAGAACAAGTGTTGAAGTAGGTGTCAACGTAGTTGGAATGTACTTAACTATAGTGATACATATTGTTGTAAGGCTTTGAACAAAAATTTACATTGTATTTCACAATTAATAAACTAATAATTCTAATTGTTTGTCTTCATCTCTACCTTTATCTTTAGTTCACTTCCTTTAGACAAAAAATAAAAGAGATAAAAATAAACAATGAGAAAAACACAGACCTGTTTGCCTGAAACTTTATACATATCTATTGGTCAGAATAGGTTAGGAGGAGAGGTAGATAAAATTAACATGGTTTGTTGTGGTTGTAGTTAAGAAAGATTTGAATTCATTAGAAATTCCCATGGATATAGTGACGGATCGATGGAATGAAGGAAAATGATTCATGTATCACATCTTTTTTTTCTTTTTTAAGAAGGCAAATATCACCAAACAAGATAATTAATGGGTTTAGATGATATAATAATAGTAATAAAGACGAAGGATCCAGACTAGAGTAAAGTAGCCTTAACAGGAGCTATAGTTGTTTTCTCCATATGTATCCTAATTTTCACTCAACATTTAGTTTCCAGGAAAATCTTCTTTATATAAAGCATATCTAGCTTCAATTAGCTAGAGAATTATCCAAACATATTGATGCACATAATCTAACATCTGCAGTTACTGTTCTATATAAAATATTTCAGTGCCAGGTTGATCCACTAACTATCATTCATGATTGCAAATAAAATAGCTATTGTACTCCTGATCATGGCTAGCGTTCTTCACACCAACATTCATTGAAATATATTTTCTTTATAGGACTGAGAATAGTAAATATCGGAAGCCATTGCTTATGTATAAGATGTGTTTCTACTAAAATTGAGAGTTGAGATCATAGTTTTGGGTAGAGAGATCAGCACTGAATTTTCTACTCATTCTCTCTTGGGTGCTGTCACCAGGCATCCTCTGAACCTCATTGTTAAGTCATTTACGAATTCAACTATCTACAAAAGCTAGGATCAATTTAGTTGAATTTAGATCGTGCAAAGTCGTGTATTCTTGAGCAACAGTTGAAATTGGATCATTGATATCTAGACTAGCTCTTTTTAGGTATACATTTGTCATTCTTTCATATTATTTTAGTTATTAGTCGCCCATTTTTCCAACCACTAAGGGGTATCATGATAGCCTTTTTCACCAATTTAAAGGCACTACTAACAGTAAGCAAATTTTTTACTGTTTGAACATAAGTGGAAGGGAGAAAAGTGTGCACTTCTTTAATTCCAACAAGTGAGGAGCTAATGCATAAAAAACTTCTATGATCAAAAGAAATTAAAAATGACATCCCACTTCAAGGAAAATCTCATTGTTGGGCAATCAAATTTAGCTAACCTTTGAAGGAAAGGAAAGGGAGATAATTGAATCTCTAACAGTAGTAATACAGTAGAAGGGAAGTACAGGAAGCTTGCAAATGCAAGGAGAAACCTATTGCACCACTCACTTCACTGTAAAATAGTCCATTACGTAATTGAGACTTGAGAGTGGCTGAGATGTCAAATAAATAAACTAATGAACCTGATGATGACAACATACAAGTCAAAAATATAGACAGAGATTACTGAAGGCATGTGTAACCAACTTACAGGTATGTGAACTGAGCTGAAGCAGTAAAGATTTCCATTTGTCGACTTCCATTTGAGGTTCAACACTGTTAGAGAGTTATTTGATTGTTTCTTCATTTATTTTATAAATGAATATAGCAAGTTTCGACTACTGAAACTTGATGTTCATATCCAAGGGATGGCACAATATAGCTCAATGGCCGTGACTTGCTCGTGTCGAGTGATATTGGACTGGCATTATCAATTTGTCCTCACTTCCCTAACTAATATATCTACAATGATAATCATCTTACATTTGCTAGATCAATTTTAACTCTAACTACACATCACGCCAGTATCAAGAAATCAACAAAATAACACATACCCATTGAAATTCACATGATCGGCACACGTATACAAGTACAAAAGTCAAAACAGAATTCTCAACTACTTACATGAAAATAAGCCATAGCACGATGGACACAAACAAGAATCCAAACAAGAAGTTGGCCGGGGAGGCCCCCATTTTGAATTGAAGAAAGGTCAATCTTCCCAAATTCACCTCTACAACACCAAAGCCTTGCAAATCTTCATATCATCAGAACAACATTAAAAAAAAACCCACAAAAAATTCGAAATTATATCTAAGAATTCGAGATGCTATCAAAGTAGCTGAAGGATCAAGCATTCAGTTATGTGGAACAGAAATAGAGAGAGAGAAGGAAATGATCAGAGAGATGTGGAGAGGGAGTGATTGTAGGAGAAAAATTGAGAGAATTAATAAATAAACAGTAAAATAATAAAGAATTGGAATATTGGGTCGATCCGGGATATATGCTTGAGAGAATAATCAAAGAGAAATTGCATTGTAATGGTAAATCTGAAGAAGAACAGAGGACTAGAATCTGGTGTCCGTCGGTGTACGGAACCTTTTGTGTGTTTCCTTTTTACTTATTCGGTTTTTTGGATTAATAGCGGCCGGTTGGTTTTCTAGGGAAAGCTCATGAAACGTCCCTGTTTAAAGTTGAACGAAACTGACCCGTCCCTTGTTCTCTTTGGGATTTGGGCTCCTTATTTTTATTTTATTTCTAATTTTAGGGATATTTGCAGCGGTCTCAAACCTACGAGTTTCTAGCGAACTTTACTTTAACCTTCAATTTGTATCAACGAAAGTCCCAGGCCTTTAAAAAATTAGCAGCTGAAGTCCAAATAGATGAAAATGTCTATTTGACCGTTCGTTGATCAAGAAAATTGGACTTTGATCAATTTTGACCAAATTGAAAGAGGTAAAATTGTAACTTTTTTTCAAATATTATTAACAACTAAACTAAAAACAAAATCAAAAATCTGCCCCACCCCCAACATCCATTCAAACAATAATCCAAAGCCGCCGATTGCCGACTGTGACCACCAAACCCACAGCCACCCAAAAACCAAAATCACCTCCACTAAATCGAAACATCACCTTCCACTTTTATTCCTTCTAAACTAGACCATCGTCTTCACGAAATCGAACTCAAAAGTCACAGGAATTCCAGAAGATCTACTTGAGTGATCGTTGCCTATTTCTGTTCTCCCATGGTGTACATGGTGTGTTCTCGTTCATAAAATCCATTTTCGAGCGATTTTGTGATCTCTTAGCAAGATCCAAGCCAGAAGCCATGGATTCACAAAGGGGACTCTCTGCACCAAACATAAGGACAATGACATTTGGTTTCAAGAAGGGAAAAGTAAAATCTCGGGATTTGCTTGGAGTTCAAATAGGAAAAGTGTTTCACATTGGTCAATACTCGACTGGATGTTCTATGTTGTTGTCGTGGTGGAAGTGGTGGCGATGGGATTCTCCACCAATAATTTCTTTCAGAATTGAATTGATTAATTTGAGATAAACGGGGTAACCGTCTACCAGTCGATTGTGGGTTTGGTGGTGGCAGTGGGTTTGGGTTTGATGGTGGCGATCGGGGGCTTTGGATCGTGGTTGGTTGGATGTTGGGGTGGGGGGTTGGGTTGAGGAAGAAGATGAAGACAAGGGTTGGGGTTAGTTAATAATATTTGAAAAAAAAATTATTAATTCTAAAGTTACTATTTTACCACTTTCAATTTGGTCAAAGTTCAATTTTCTTGGTCAACTAAGGGTCAAATTGACAATTTTCATCCATTTGAACTTCAACTGCTAATTTTTCAATGGTTTAGGACCTTGTTGGCACAAACTAAAAGTTAAGTTAAAGTCCGGTAAAAATTCAAAGGTTTGGGACCGCCGCTGCATTTATCCCTTAATTTTATAGAAAATTTGAATTAGAGGTTTTGGACCTTTCAAAAATGTGCAGTCAAGTCTAAAACTTTTTAATCTTAGGGCATACATCTCAAACTTTCTAATAAATGTGCAGCAGAAGGACATCTAGATGATTTAGGCCCCGTTTGTCTTTCATTATTCCAAAACATTGTTTGCTACAGTAAGATTCTCCACCACACATTCACACAATAAAATATTCTACACACAAACCAATAAAGTTACTTTAAATTTCAACCACACATTCTACAAAAAATACTATTCATTACTCCATTTCTTCTACAATAATAGGAGACAAACACTCATATCCAAATGACTATTAGTTGACTTAGCCCATGTTTAACAACCATTCTTTTCAAACTCTTTTTCTCTCATACTCATTTTCTGGAAGTTGAATCTTACCTTACGTAATAATTGCCTCAATTTGTTCATTCTCCACAACACTTAATGTCATTACCAGCTATTTGGGATTTGTCTAAATCACTTGGCAAAGCTGCAACCTATCTTTTCTGAAAGTGCATTCGCAATTTGTCCTATTTGATTTTCCAAATTTTGTATATATAGTTGCTTGAATTTGCAAGTTCTTCTCGGTCTTTTGCATGTATTGAGCTGATAGCTTAACCATTTTAGTGAATACTTCTTCCCATGAAGGCTTATTTTCTAGCTTCTGAAAATCGGTGGTGCATTTTGATGTAGTGCACCTAAAGAAGGCTGGTTATTGCTCCAGGAAAAATTTGGATGATTCTCAATCTCGGATTGTATGTGTTAGAATGTGGATTATTCTGCTGCCTCGATAATTCTGCATGTAATTTACCTCTTCAGCTGATTTAACAAATGGACTTCCCACATTGTAGTCCACACTTTTGTGATTTTAACAGCAATGGTTGCATCTCGGCCCAACTGCTTGAACTGCATTCATTGTTTGATTGGTTGCTCAACTATCTACATTTTTTGTTATTGCTAAAGGACAAAGAAAATTCTTGTTAGTCGTCATTGACCTCTTCACTAAGTTGGTACAGGCGGAACTATTGGCCACCAACACAACAACTAAGGTGCAAAGTTTTGTATGGAAAAATATTATAAGTATGTTCGGTATACCCAGAGTAATAATTATTAGCAATGGCATGCAGTTTTTTTCAACTACAGCTTTAAAGCTTTTTGTGCGAGTTATCACATAGATTATAGACTGACTTCTGTCACTCACCCTCAGTCTAATGGGCAGAAAAGTAACGAAGCAAATAATATTATGGGATTTGAAGATAAGATTGGAAAAGGAAAATGGACTATGGGCAGATGAGTTACCTAATGTACTATGGGCATATCACATGACCCCCACGGGAACCAGAGGGAGAAACACCTTTCAAGCTATCTTTCGGAATAGATGTTGTTGTTCCGATTGAAATCCTAATTGAAATTGATAGGATTAATGTCAGGTAGCTCTACATCGTGACTACCAAAGGAGAACTCAACCTACTTGATAGGGTGAGAGATATGACAACTATGAAGATGGCAGCTTACAAGCGAAAGGTCGATGAATACTTTTGACAATGTAAGATTCACTTGTATATCCGAATGTCATAACTAATTTAGCTTCCTATTTTTTTCCCAACACTGAGCCAAAAATCGATCATAGCTTGAAGGGTCCATAGACGATGCTGAACAACCACCCATTCCTTAGTCAGGGCTATAGAGGCAACTATCATTTTTGCCCCGTACACAGTCATGTTTCTAGCAAACTCTAAAGAGGTTTTGTATCGTTCTATGATGCCATCCTGTGCATGGACTATAGAAAAGAGCAAACTATCATTTTCTTTCCTGCTCACTAACTTAGGACTCTAATTCCTTAAAGCGAGCATCTGAAACATCAAGAGATTTCCTTAAGGTTGAAATTTTCTTTTTAAAGTTGCTCACTTCCTTGTTTTTATCCTCCTCAAGAGTCTTTAATTCTACAACTAGTAGGTGACTCGCTCCGACAAGTAAATCTTACATTGTCAAAACCTGGTAAGCAAAGAGCAAGGTAAACTGATAATCATATTCTGACTACAACTCCCCACTTTTCCTATTTAAATACAAACTCCCAACCTATTACAAATTTGACTCTAACTAAAACTGTGCACTTCTAACATAACACAAACACCTTGTATAATAAGGATAAAGACTACAAGAAATTGAATCCTTTTAGGACTCCATTTCCAACATCTATAAATACATGACCCAATCTCATTATTCAGGTACGTTTTACATAATATTCCAGCATATAGTTTTTTGCATAATTCCTCTATCTGATTTAAGCATCGCATGAGTAACAAGACACACTTCAACACCTTATTTCGGGTATTGAAGATCGGATCGTGCGGAGCTCAATCATCCCGTTCAAGTTCGTTCAGGTACAAATTTTTGGTAGCATCATTGGCGTCATCTGTGCGAATCGCTACCAAAAGCCATGGTTAACTCACATTCAGGATATCTTTCAGCAAGCTCATCTGCTCCAAACCAACCCCCTACTGGAGATCCTCCGGTTTCCCAGGAGGTGTCATCAGAAAAACCACCACATCCACCAGCAGCAGTCACTCCTGGAGCGTTTGAGGAACTCCGCCAACAAGTGGCCATGCTAACTCTGCTACTAAATCAGAGAAGTACACCGTCAGTACCATCGCCGCAGAGTGGTCTTATGGTAGATGCCCGGACTCTCGACCCCAGCCACGGTGATGTCGAAACCTCGGGCATACCTCATGTGCCCTTAGGTTCGAGGTCAAAAATCATATATGCCCTAACATATGTCGTACAATGTAAATCATTCAAGATGTCTCTGTCAAAAATCCCTCCTAAATAGATGACCGACCTACTTACTCGGGCTAAGAAGTACATTAACATAGAGGAGACCATGTTTCAAAGAAGAGATACCTCGCCATCAAGTAAGCCCGGATTTAAAAGGCCACTGAGTCTAACATACGTCCGGATCCTTTTTGAGGTAAGCCAAGGCAAGACCCCCCTCTAACATCTTTCACCCGATTGAACACCATGAGGTCCAACATTTTGGTGGAAATTAAAGATCTTAAATAGCTGAAATGGTCTCCAAGGTTGCAAGCTTCGCCGAACACCCGAAGCAAGTACTGTGATTTTCATCGAGATCATGGGCACACGACCAAAGGTTACTTCATCCTGAAGCGAGAAATTGAAGGCCTCATCAAGTAGGGATTTCTGAGCACTTACATCAACCATGACAAGTGTCGAAG